TAGTTAAATCACCTATTTTTTTTAGTTATATCCAAAATTCTGTGCTGCATTTAGTTTGGGAATTGTCATGAGTGCATGTCATGCTCTCATCTCTTGAAACTTGGTATTTCCAGGTAGGATCAGAACCTTTGGCTCGACCCAGAAGAACCAGTGGGTTAAACAGTGTGACCACTGTTAAAAAAGAAATACCAAATGAAAAATACTCTACAGCCACTGGTGTGGTGCTGTAGTAGTGATTATTATCAGAGCTGTAAAAAATGCACTTTAATTAACCCAACTGGTAGGTACCAAACATTTGGTTATGGAAGAGTAAATTGAAGCTTTATAAGGTTCAGGATCAGCAAAGAAGGAAAAAGTCTCACCTGACCTTGGGTGACTCAAAAATGGCTTCAGAAGAGCCAGAAAAACTAAAAATAAAGTGGCACGAAGGGCAAGTGTGTGAAAAATACGGGGTTAATTCTATATTCCCCATTTATTTATTTTCCTTATCCATTATCCAGTTTTTCCCTGTGTTTACATTAAAAGAAGCAACAAATACTGAGCAGAAAGAGCCACCCCTAGAACAGGGACAGGGACATTTCCTTGGCAAAATGTATCACATGTCCTCAGAAACAGTTCTATACAGTCACAGAACAGGATTGTTCTTCCACTTGAGATGCTGTAAGAAATTTTTTTTGTTTTTTTCTTTTTTTTTTTCTGTTTAAGAACCAGCCAGGGGAGAAGATGTTCACCAAAGCATTCAGTGCTCAAAGAACATTGGCTGAACTGGCTGATTTAAGATTTTATTACTGAATAAACCTCACTGGTTACAGGCTGGAATCCTTGCAGGGCACGGTCAATAGATACGTTCTGAAATAGGGGCATCAATTCTAGATATTTCCCTGCCAAAAAAAGAAGGGAAATGTAACAATTTAGACAAATCAGCCTCAAAATTGGTCCTACTGGGTGTTGAGGTGGAGACTTTGCATCAGCCCACCTCAGGTGCTGCCTCCCATCTCACACCTCAGTTCCACAAGGGAGGTCCTTACGTTGTGAGTCAAATATTTAGCCCCCAAATCCAACCATTAATCAAATTTATTGCACTTCTCTTGCATCACATCCCCAAAATAAGCTCAGGGGGGTTATTCCATCTCCCAGCTAGGACAGGCACTCTCAGTCACTTTGCTCCCGGTGCTTCCCTGGTGGCGTTTCCGTGGTGTCCTTTGGTGACAATTGTTTCCTCTAAGGAAATTCCCTTTCCTGGGAGAGGTGAGAGCAGGTCCTACAAGCACTAAAAGAACTGTTTTGGTCCCTCTGATTGCCAGCAGATCATTTCAACTGCATCCTCAGGAGGATGCTGAAATAACCCCATGGATGAAGGCTGGAAGATCTCACAGGCCTCTCAATAAGACAGCGATTTTTACCGGAGTTTTGTTCCGCAAAATCAAAATATCTTCTCCATTTTCCCACACGCCTTGTGAAAATCCACGCTGCAGGAACACAAACACACTCACACACACTTTGCACATTAAATATATATAAAATGAGTGGTGTTCTCTGAGGAGAGACTCTTCCTGTGCCACAAACACTTCAAAGGCTTCAAAGCAGAGGTGCCTGCAGCGAGGGCTGGAGCTGAGAGCAGAAGTGCCAGTTTCAGCTGACACCAGAGGTTTCAGGCTCTTAGGGCATAAAGCATTTTTCACTCATTTTAAATTAATTTAATTGGGGAAAAAAATGAAGGAGAAATAACTGGAGACTTTTTTTTTGAAGGGGGGGGTTGTGTGGGTAATTTTTTTTTTTTTTTATAAGTGGAAAATGCCATTTGGAGATTAAACCTGCCTTTAAGTGGCTATTTTTAAATGAAAATATCTTCAGTGTTCGAGAAGTGACTGCAGAGACCTTCTCTTTGCAGCCATCTGAGAGAGGGGTTTTTTTCTTTCTCTTGCATCTCTGCTGCTCAAACCCTGTTCCAGCTCCAGGGCGGGCAGTGGCTCCAGCCTTTCCTTCTGCTGCCCCTTCTCTGAGTTAATGCATTGGTTCTGCAGGGAAAAAAAAAAAAACAAAAATCGACATTTTTAGTATTCCAAGAGCCAAAGGCTGGCTGGATGGAGGGATTTGCTGTACACCACAGGCAGGAGACGAGGGCTGATGCAAATGCAGTTTTACACCCTGTGCCCAGAGAAACAACTCACTGCTGCCCAGGGAAGGGTGAGATACAGGGAAGACATTCTGCTTTTATTTTTTTCTACTAGTTGTTTTTCAAATCAAAGTGCTGAAACAGTAGAAATACCTTGTTTTTGCCTGTCATGGCATGGGAATCTGCTTAAATTTTTAAATGTATTTATTTAGCTGCTTGCTCAGAGGTAGCCCCTACACTATCAACAGCAAAGAACACACAAGGTTTGGGAGTATTTTTCTGGTGTTTTCTTGTGTTTTCAGGTTGTTGGATGCCAAGGGGAAGAAAATGAGTGGGGTTTGGATGCTTGGTAGTGGGACAGGTAAAGATCTCTGCTCAAGGAGCTCAGATAGGGGAGAACACAGAGGTTTCCCTGGACTAGCCAAAAGCAGCTCTTAAAAGAAGAAGACGTTCTATGCAATCTTAAACCCATTATTTCCATAAAAATATAGCCCTTATTATAATTATAAGAATAATTCAAAGTGTGGTGAGCATGGCAGGGTGCAGTGCCTCCCTGACCCGCTCCAGGGCTGCATCCCACGGTGCCCATCGAAAGGGAAATGTGGATCCTCTCAGCACAGCTCTCCTGTTTTTCCTCAGCCTGCCCAGCAGCCACGTTATCTGCGATTCCACGTGTCCTCCCAACGCTGTGTTTGCTGCCTTTTAGGCCAAACCCTTGGTTAGGGAGAATCTGCAGAGCGTCACGGCCTCATTGATTTAATTGATTGGGAGCGCCGGGCTCTGCCCAGCACCTCATCCCCTCTCCCAGGCAATGGTAATCAGAGCAAAAGATAACACAGCCTGTTCCAGTTGCAGCAGGGATGAAAAGATTTCTTCCCTAGGACTCCAAAGTGCCTTTGGAAAAGAAGAAATTCTGACTGTGTTTTCTGTCTCTAGCCCAGGGTTTGCCAGCGGGTGCCCAGCGCAGCCTCTGAAGGTCCCTCTGGACCAGCTCATCTGCAGTGCTGCAGGGAGGCTGCTGGAGTTCCAGGAGGTGCAGCCAGGCTGCCACAGGCTTGGAATTTTATCCCTCCAAGATTTTATTATTTTTATCCAGATATACTGTGGAAAATCACAGCTGGGTCCCAGTGACTGAAATTAGCAGCAAAGACATAAAACCTCGCGGTGAGGGGATTTTGTTCTTCAATTTAACAAAACTTGAGCGTCTCCCCGTTTGCAATGAGGACATTATCCATTACAAATGGATATCCATGATAAATGGACCCATAAAATTAGGGGAAAGCAGGGCTGCTGCTGCAGCAAACCTTAATAATTTCATATATTCAATATATAGTCACCCTAAATAATTGCCCCTCCTGCAGCAGCTCTCCAGCCCAGAGCCACCGACCTCTCGGAGCTGTTTGACCAAAGGGTCAGCATTTCCACCCCATTAATGAACAATACACAGATGGGTTTGGTCTTCTAAAATCAATTCAGAATAAAGAATCTTCTCCTGATCCCTCCTTGCTGAGGTTTGTGCCAGAAATAAATCCTCATTTTGGAGCTGCCTACTGATGGTTTGTCTGCTTGGCTTGGGCACAGCCAGGAGGGCACAAACAGACTCACCTCAAGCTTTTGTGAGTAAATACACAAGGAATTATTCATAGCATCATCCAGTCGTGGAATCATAAAGGTTGGAAAAGCCCTCTGAGATCGAGTCCAACCATTCCCCCAGCACTGCCAAGGCCACCACTAATCCATGTCCCCAAGTGCCACATCCACACGCCCTTTAAATCCCTCCAGGGATGGGGACTCCACCACTTTCCCAGGCACAGCCTGTTCCTCTACACAGCCTTTAAATCCCTCCAGGGATGGTGACTCCACCACTTCCCCAGGCAGTTTTGTTCCAGTGCTTCTTGCTTTGTCTTTTAGACACAACCAAAGCAGGGCTGGGGGTGGTCAAGGGCAATTTGGCCACTGCCAAGGATGGGGAGCCCTCAGGATGGAGGGTTTGGGAACAACCTCAGCAGGAACAGATCTTTTCTTTGCCTGAGTGTGCTTCTGCCCTAAATTAAATGCAGAAGTAAAACTCAGGGCAAAAGCTGAATCACTGGCTTAATTTAGCAGTGAAATCATGAGTGAGGCACTACAGTACCTGCTGAAGGGTGCAGTGATTTCTAATTATGGATTACACAGCTAATCAGTACCAATCAACACTTTATGATCTTGACTTAATATTTAATATAATGTTAATTATAATTGCTTTTGCCACAAACTGTGTCAAATACGAGGCGTGATTTCCCCTCCCGGTGTCCCTGGCGGCTCTGGGATGGGGCAGCTGGAGGAGGGACCTTCCCTCCCCAAAATCCCACCCAGCAGCACAGCCCCACCTCCCTGCTCATCCTCCTGCCTTGAGTTGTGATGCTAATTAAGTGGTGGTGAGTCTCAGCGTTATTAGAACGGAGTTTTTATCTCACACAAGTACCTTCCAGCTACAAACAGGGGAAGTTCATTTAATTAAAAATAATTTTAGTGTGAGTTAATGTGAACACAGTTCAATTACTCTGAAATACGCTTAACATTTTTTTTCCCCTCTTATTCTTTCAAAGTCTAACAAGAAGCTACAGAAAAACACACCCCAAACCACCAACAACAGACAACCAAGATCATTCTTTCGGGTAGTTTCTGTGGGTTTAGGTTCTCACGTTTCCCTGCTCTGATTTCCACCCCTTTGCCCCCAAAACACTGAGCGTGACATTGAGCAGCTGTGGCATCACAGGAGCTGGAAGGTTTGGGGCCAATCAAAACATAATATTATAAGGCATTTTTTTCTTCACTGCTTTTTCCTCCATCATTTTATGTCTAGAGGGATGCAGAGCTCCCACCATCCCTGCTGACCAGTGCCTTTATGATTCTCAGCATCCCTGGGACGCTTGTCCCAGGAGGGGCTCAAAGCAGACCCAAAATTTTGCGTGGGGTCTCAGGCCAAACAAATCAGCTCCAGAACTCCCTCCTGGCTCCGAAATTCCGCTGCCATACCTGGTAACTCAGAAGCTCCTCATTAAAACAGAGCAAAGAAAACTGAGCAGGGTAATTTCTAGGAGACAGGGCTTGGTTTAAAAAAGCGTGTAAGTTCTTGCATATTAGTTAATAAAAGCTTTTAGTGTACTTCAAACTCCTCTTTTGACATGAAGCTCTTCAGAGCATCATCACTATTTTCTCTTTCCTGCTCTCCTTCCATTGTTTCAACTCTTTGCTCAGAGGGCTGAGTGAATCAGTTGAAGGGAATAATTCCTCCAGTGAATTTCACCTCTTTTTTTCTCACAACACAATTTCCTTTGATGGATTCATTATTGCCAATTATTTGCTGAATAGCTTTAGTAAATAATTCTCTGGCTGGAGATGGATGGTGAGTATCTTGCTGGAATGATTTAATGGCCAAAACTGAAGCTCTGCTGGGGAAGTACAACTATTCACAGGAGTTGTGATGATGGTTTTCCCTGTTCACTGGCTCATGGAGGGGGGAACCAGGCTCTGGACTGGTAGCAAACTCAAGTAGATGCTCCTCTATGTTTTTTTTCAGGCTTTTTCTGGTAGTTTGAGGCTTAGAAACTTCTTTCAGGACTTGTTTTCAGGGCAGGACACAGGGCTGGGGGCTGGCAGCACCTTCTCTGCTCAGGAGTGTCCCTGGCAGTGCCACGGTGGCCAAAATGTCACTACAAGGAGGAGCAGAAATGTGTAACAATGGCAAAGTCACATTCACAGCATCATTCCTGTGATTATTTATTGAGCATCCTCAGGGTTTCTGTCCTTAAGAGCCCTTGCAAAGTCCTTTTGCCAGCTTGAGCAATGTCTGTGCATGACAATTCCAAATCCCTCAGCTCTGCTGTGCACAGACCACTCAGGACCATCTTCAGAGGCCTGGTAAGTTTTGATCTAATTTTAACTTTATTTAGGGGAAAAAAACCAACAATCCAACTAAAAAAAAGCAAACCCAAAGCAAATCCAGAAAGGTTAAGGACATAATTAACACTCAGGCAATTTTTTAGTATCCTAAATAGTCTGTATAAATGCCATCAGGACTTTGCTGGCCCAGGCACCTAATTTTACCTGCATATTCCCAAAATGCATTTCCAGCTGGGCTTAGGTTCTGGTCCCCCATCTCAGCTAGTCCTGGGGTCTCCCCTGGGGCTTAGTTGGGGTCTCTTCTCGCAATTAAAAATATAAAAAACAGACGTATTTGATTCATGTTTTGGCTTTTCCACTGTCAGGGGAGCTACAGTCCAGTGTCAGCAGCTGGAGCTGCTGGCTTTGTCCCTCCAGCACTGCCAGGGACTGCACAGAGAAAGGAAGGAGTCCTGGGAATTAACAGGAGTGGGGACAAAAGGAACATGAGCACATACTTGGGCTGAAGATCCCATAAATCAGCTGCTGGGATGTTCCATCCAAAGCCCCTGAGCTGCACCTCCTGATGAGGTTAAACTCAGACTAAGAAAAGCGGTTCTTGAAAGTTTTTGTTGATTCTTTATTGCATAAAAGCACCCAACAGAAAATCTATCTTTAAAAAGTGAAATAAAATAAAAGAAAGGAAACAAGTGGGACAAATCCTTCCCCTCCATCCACACCAAAGCCTTTCACGGGGGTTTGACCTCTCTGATGTGGGAAAACAAATCTCCAGACAGAAGACAAGGTGCTTAATAGCAAAGCCCATTGACTTTCAAATGCAATCTTGTTGTTTTTTTTTTTTTTTTCCTACATAACTCTGCTGTGTTGCATCTTGTTTACTTTCTCTCAGCACCCATTAAGTTAATATTACCATAAAGGAAATTAATTCCACCCCCCCCCACACACACACATGGAAACACCTCCCATCAGGGTAACTTAACATCACTCAGGTGGGCATGGAAAGTAATTATCCCACTATAGTATCTCTGGTGCCACTCCATCAGGGACTGATAGGTAAAGTCCTTCCATCCATTAAAGATCTTGTAACCTCTCATTACATATGTAGTTCCATATGAAGTCCTATTCTCAGAAAAGGTTAATTAAAACCTGTGATTCCTGTATGAGCTGAATTGGGGGGTGGGGGGGATCAGGCAGGAATTTCTCCCCTGCAAAGCCCCTCATTCTTTACTTAAACATGAATTAACTTCCCAGAAGGACTCAGAAGGCCAACCCAACCTCTCCTGAGGAAAGGAGGTATTTATCAACCTCAATCTGTCTGCCTGCACAGCAGAGACTTAAAATACCTGTGTAAAACTCTGTTCAAGACCTGGAGCCCACCCTGGTGACCTGCAGGGATGTGTCATGCACTCCCATGGGTAATAATTCCTGAGACTGCCTGGGCAATTTAGGGAGAGAGGATCTTCTCTGCTTTAAGGAGTGTAAAGTAAGAATGCCCCAATTTGGCCATCCCTGCTCATTGCAGGGCAGTTGGACCCGATGACCTTTAAAAGCCCCTTCCAACTCACACCAATCCATGGCTCTGTGTTCCCAGCTGAATTTTTAAAAGCAGATGGACTGATTGTCCCACCACCCGCCTTTCCCACCCCCAGCATGAGACACACTGGGCAGTGAGAGCTGGGGGAAGGGACTTTGTCTGAGCATCTTCAAAGGCTTCGCCTCCTTGTTGAAATTAGGCAATTAGCACAGAGGGCTAATGAACCTCAGAGTGTCTGTTTTAACACCTCCTCCCTCAAATAACACCACTGTGGGGAAGGTGGACTCCTAAACCACCCAGAACTAACACATGGAAGCTGTTCCATGGGAAGGATCCCACCGATTTCCTGATGCAGGAGGAGGTTATAACAAACACGAGGCTCCTCAGAAATATCTCCACAGGCCCCCCATGTGTGCATTTAATGGAAAATAGAGGCCTTGGAGGAGACCACCAAGCTCCAAGCCTGGGTTTTGCCACTTCCCTGCGTGCTGGTGGTGAGGAATGTGCAGGGCCTGTGATAAAGGCGGCGGTGCCGGAGAACCATCAGTGCTACCTAAAAGCAAATGGAAGTGGCATAAATAATTGTGCTGTAGAAAGGCTTTCTGTTGCACCTTGCCTATCACTGACAATTTACATATCTTAGGAAAACCTTTGTCAGCTTCTGTCATTTCTGCACTATTATGTGCCTTTCTGGATAATTACCAGTTAATGTGAAAAAGCAGATGGAAAAAACCTTGAAATTTCTGATAGAGAATCCTCAAACCTCTCCCCTTATCTGTGCACAGCAGCTTCCTGATTTCAAAAGAAGTTTGAAAACCTTTGTTAAAAATGTCCCTGATTCCCAGTTTGAATGAACCAAATGACATTCAGCTAAAATTATTCAGCTTTTTCCACAATTAAATTCCATTATCGTGAACTGCCAAAGTAAAATGGAAGGTCTCTTAACTAATGTGCCAGTTGTTTGCTTGTATTTTCGTAGTGTGTATTGTATAAAGCTGTGTGAAGTAGAAGGAGGATAAACAATAACTGTAATTTTGCATCAATGAGTGGGGCATTTTTAGACCCCTCATTATAGGAACACACTGGGGTTGGTGGGTTTTCTCTCTCCTTTTTTTCCCCCTCTTTTTTTTTTTTTTTTTTTTTTTTTTTTTTTTTTTTTTTTTTTTTTTTTTTTTTTTTTTTTTTTTTTTTTTTTTTTTTTTTTTTTTTTTTTTTTTTTTTTGGTGTGTTATTTTATTTATTCCTTTTCCCTCAAAAGCCCACTGAGACTGATTGGATATCTCACCAAACTCGAGGGGCAGTGTCAGTTTGGTTTTTAGCACCAGGAGTGATTTCTTTATGCAGTCCCTGCATACCATGAGAGCTCAGCACTGAGCACACCCACTTCTCCTCTCCCTCTAATGAGGAGCCAGCCTAGCAGCACACAGGGGGAATCATTCCATTTAAAAACACCATTCCCACAAGCAGGGGAACTGTCCTCATGTTGTCTCTGTTGGTTTTTCCCTTGTTCTTCTGGAAGACTTCAAATTAAGCCACCCATGAGAAAGGCAGCACAGTTAATCACAGAATCCTGGAGTGGTTTGGGTTGGAAGGGACCTTAAATATCATCTCATTCCACCTCCTGCCGTGAGCAGGGACACCTTCCACTAGACCAGGTTGCTCCAAGCCTGGTTTGCTCACGTGCAGGATGGAATAAAGCAAAAATAAACCTCAAAAGCCCACAGGGAAGTTATTTCTGTGAGCTTCCAGTCAAAAAAAAAAGAGGAGGGAACTTTCTGATGACAGGGGTTTTGGTGGAATTTCCTGTACAAAATGCTTTCAGCAGGTTGGTGGGCTCAGACTGAATTTTGCCCTGCAAAGCCAAGCCTCATCCAAGGTCTGGAAGTAACACCCCCCTCAGGTGCACTTTGCAGTCAGAGAATCATCATTTCAGTTGGACAAAGACCCTTAAAATCATCAATTCTACTCTACAGGATTTTTCTGAGCACTGAAGGCTTCTGGCATTCACAAACCCTGCGGAAAAGGCTGAGCCATCCCTGCCCTGGAGCTCAAAAGCAGTTGGAGGAGGAGCACAAGGCTTGGGAATGGACAGAGGAGAGCAAGGAGAAAACCTGGCACAGCAATGGCACTGGGCAGGGGGAGAGAAGTGGGACAAGGAAGAGGCGTGGGGACACTCATGGTTCTTCTGGGACACCCGGTCTCCCACACACCAGGAACACCCAGCAGCAGGTCCCTGGAGCACAGGTAGATCTACAGTCACACCAATCCCACTGCACAGGAGTCACTCCTTTGACATCAGGAAAAAAAACCCACCTAAATAATCCAGTGCCAAGCCCATTTCTCTTCAGTTGCTTGAACACACACTGAAGTCCACTTAGAAAACGAAACAAAAGAAAAAGGTGACTCCATGTTGGGTGATCTAGACAAAAACTGTCCTCAGAACAAAGAGATAGCAGTGGATACCTCGTGGTTACTCACTGGAATCAGAGACTGGCTCAGCTGGAGCTGTGAGAGTGCTACAGCAGAGAAAAAGATAAGTCCTTTCTATAGAGAGAGAATGAAAGCAGAGCTGTGTTGGTGAGGATCAGTATAAAGGGAGCTGAAGCACCTCAGTATCGTGGTGTTGTATCAGAAAGCTCCACAGACAAAAGGCCACAGAGCTCTGGGGTTGCCCTGCTGGTTTGTGTTGATGGTGCTTCTCTTCCTGCCTGGCATTTACCATCTCCAGCCCATGGAATGACATTTCAGATCCTGATTAAAATCATTGTCTTTCATGGCAGAGGAAGTTTGTTCTTCAAAGTAAAGAAGATAAAAAAAAAAAATAAAAAAAAAAAATGCTGTTGCAAACAGTGCTGAAAACCAGATGAATAAAAACAACCAAAAAAGGTTTTAATTCCATTATTTTCAATTAGCTCTTTAATTTGATTTAAGTCATTTGCACTTGTTGCTTGTTTTACATCTCTTATTGTCCAGCATTTTATTTCACACATCTAACAGTATTAAATCAAACTGTTTTCTAGTCTTTGCCTTCTTTTGAAGCCTCTTGAAAGTCTAAAGCAGACTTAAAAAACCAGATATTAAAAACGAACTTTCATCTCTCTGCAGGTTATTTGTAATCAGACCTTTCTCATCAAGGGCTCTTTTCATATGTGTTTGGGATCTGGGAATTATTAAAACTGCCAATCTATCTTGTAAAAAACGCTGCCCAGGCTTCAGTGCTTTTAAAACTTCAGCATCATGTTTGAATTCCTCAGCTGGCATTGGAGAGTTGGTGCTCCTGCTTGTAGATACTTACAGATAGCAGTGATTCAGTAAACCTACAGAGGGTCCTACTGGAAACTCCTGTTTATTCACACTTGGTTCTGAGTGGTTGCTGGCTCACACTGAGGGCTGGGATGTAAAATCATTTATTATGGCAGGGACAGCATTTCTTCCCCATTGCCTTCTATATCATCAGGTTTTACCAAAATGATCACA